TGAGAAATTATTAACCCCTTCAGCTCTCCTACCTGGACACCCCCTTATGGGTCAGAGCATTTTTTTTTTACATTTCCACTATAGGCCTGTTCACTTGGGGATGACAATGTCATTATTTAAAGAGAAACTGACCCCCTTCCCCCCCAAAAAAATTCCTCCAACTCTTGTCCCGTAAAAAAAGACAAAAAAAACCATACTTTCTAGACCACGGGTGTCAAACTGGTGGCCCTCTAGCTGTTGCCAAACTACAAGTCCCATGAGGCATTGCAAGATTGACAGTTACAAGCATGACTTCCAAAGGCAGAGGCATGATGGGACTTGTAGTTTTGCAACAGCTGGAAGGCCGCCAGTTTGACACCCCTGGGCTTGACCATGACCATCTTGTGTAGCACTACCCCCCTTAGGAGTCGCTGAGTTTTGGGTCCCCCTATAGTCCTTCACAACCTGGCAACACAAATTTTCCTCAGACCTTGCACACTGGAGACAGTAAACAGTTGTTGAGCTTGTTTTTGTAGTTTTATTATGGGATATCAAACTTGGATGGGGTTGAGGGGTGTATGGGATGCCCAAGGAACAGCCAACTGAGGACAACTCCTTGACAACTATGTACCACCCCAGACTAATCTTCTCCTCATCCAGCTGTATTGGGTGAATCCCTGGGCAAGGGGACCCAGAATTTGTCTCCTTAAATCAGAGTCTTAGATGGGGGCTAATCAGGTGGGCGGAATGGACAATAGGGGATCGTGGGGCCCCTATGACCTCGCCCACACTCAAACCACACCCAAAAAAGCCTATGAAAGGTACCAGTGGCATCTCATAGGGCCCCCTACTGAACCAGGGCCCTCGGGCAGTGCCCGAATGGTCAGTCCGCCCCTTTTTCCCACCCAAATGCCCTTTTTTCTTATCCAGCTCAGGGGGTGTAGGACTACTCACTATCCCTCTCCTGTGAGCTTGTTGGGTTTGTGGCTGCCTTCAGGCCTTCTGCTGGACTGGCTCCTTCCCTGCTGCACAGGTGGTCCTCTCCCAGGGGCTACTGAGGGTAAGAGATCCTCCTTTAAAATCTGGCCTGGAGGTAGGCTCTTTCCCACTGAGCCCCCTCCCAGGCTCCTGTATTTCATCTCAGCCTCTCACTCCATCTTCCACCCGAAATATCCTGCTGCTAAGCAGGCTCAGTCATACTTAAGGGCTGTCCTGACCCCATACTGAGCCTCCTGCCTGGGGATTGGTCAGGATCACTCAAGTATGCAGATCAGCCCCTCCTCACCCCTGCCAGCTGTCTTCTAGAAACTTATCAAGTCTTTAGAGCCGGGGGGTGGTATCAGGGAACTGATCTGCAGAGCCCTCAGCCCTGACCTAAGATGACCCAGCTGACTCATGCAAAGGCTGCCATTCAGCTTTCCTCTCTAAAAAAAATAACTAGCTCCCCCTGGCTATCTAGAGGGGCTCTACACTTGCTTGAAGCAAAAGCTCCCCTTTCGCCCCTCTTCTGCCATCATGAATTGAGATCCGGTAGATGCGCCATGAGTTTCTGCCAGGTCTATGGGACCTGGTAGAGATGCCTGTAGTGTGTGTGTATGTATGTACCGGATCCCTATGCATGCGCAGACAGGCCACGATATGTCTGTACATGTGTGACATCTTGCCTACAGCTCCTAGGATGGCTGCGCCACACATGCCAAGGGCAATTTGTAAGATGTCACGCATGCGCACCCACACACACTGTGGGGTCACTGGCAGAGCGATTCAGTGTACCTGTGCCTGCAGGAGAGCCATTAAAGTGGTTGTAAACCTCAGGCAAGAAATATGAACAAAGCATGTCCCTCTATAGTGTGTACTTGTCTCAATCCAGAGCACTAAGTGCCATTTCTGCCTGCTGCCTCCTTCCTCTGCTATCATCATGAGTCACTTCTGACACATTCTCCTGACACCATAGAAAAAAGTGGGATCACTAGTAGATTGACAGCCTCAGCTCTGTTCCTGTGAGCCGCGTGGAGGAGGGTTTGTCTCTTTCCTCCAATCAGCTTTCCTCACTGAGCTCAGCAGAGTGTAATTTCAGCTCTCCACCCCCTTTTTTCTGAACTCTCAGACACGCTTTATACATTCTGAACTTTGAAAGGATGTAGAGAAGAGAGGACCACAGATAAACAGGTACAACTTATGTAGAAGGATTTGTGTATCACTTGAGGCCAGTCCCTCCACTGGGTATATGGAAGGGCTTACAACCACTGTAAGTCATTCTGTCCTAGACTGGAAGAAAAAATTATAGAAGAATTGAATATCTTTTTTTTCTTTGCTAATGTGGAAATGGGGGGGGGGGGGGGGGAGCTGAAGAGGTCCTGCAAAATGTGATAAGGTTCAGCTTTAAGATAACAAGGTAATACTTTTTCCTGATGGCTCCATGTTAGCACAGCTGGGTGAGGCCCCGCCCACTCCGTGCCTTTTAAATTTTTGGCCTCAGCCTTGGCGTTCCTTTTTCTTCCTCCTGCAGTCAGGACAGGTGGTATCTCCACCCTAGCTGGTCTAATGGCTGGATATCCATCCAGAACCTCCGTCAGTGTTGGACACGGTCCCTGTACTCCTCTGCTAACAGCAGTCTGACCAGGGAGCCCCGCTGCTGGTCCTTGGGGCGGCATCCGGCCTTGGTAAAATACAGCTGGCTTATGGGGTAAAACCAGGGCTGTGATAGACCTCAAGGGGCTCAACACGTACATCAAGAAAGACCGATTCAAAATGGAATCTGCCCAGACAATTCTGAAGATCATTTAGCCAGGGGATTGGCTTCTGTTAGTGGACCTCAAGGACGTGTATTTCCATGTGTTGGTAGCCCCAGTCTGCCAGCGTTTTCTACGGTTTGCGGTGGGCAGCTCCTCTACCAGTTTGTATATCTACTCTTTGGGCTGACCACATCACCCAGAGTATTCACAAAGAGTCTCCTGGCTCTAGTGGCGTACCTGAGGTCATATTTGGATGATATCCTGCTCCTGAATCAAGACCAACAGACGCTTCTGTCACACCGGAAGATGCCTATGGAAACACTGGAGAACTTCAGATGGTTGATCAATTGGGAGAAGAATCACCTTGTGCCAACCCAGACCCTGAAGTATCTAGGCGTAGAAGTGAACACTCGTGCAGCATCAGTGGAGTTACCAGAGGACAAGATGTCATGCATCCTGAAGACGATGTCTACAGCCCAAGAGAGGTTCTACCTTCCAGCAATAGAATGTATGCGGCTTCTCAGAATTCACGTCCCTTTCAGGTAGGGTTCCTGGAGCAATGGAGATTGGAGAATCTTAGGCAGAGGATACTGATCAATTCCCAGATGAGAATGAGCCTGGAATGGTGGTCGAGACGACAGAACCTCTTACAATGCCATTCATGATACAGTGGCAGGTGGTCCAATCAGATGTCAGCAAAGCAGGCTGGGGAGCCCTATGTGGAGATCACTGGGCCCAAGGCCAGTGGTCATTCTGTGCTACCTACATTGATTCCAGCATTCTAGAATTGAGGGCAGCATTCCAGGCCCTCCTGGCTTTCAGAAGGTTAATTCAGGGTGAACCCGTTCTGATGAAACTGGACAATACAACGGCAGTGGCCTAGATCCACAGATAGGGGGCACCTGCAGCATATCCCTCCTGAGGGAGGTTACTCCAATTATGGAATGGGTTCAAGCCAACTTACAACCGCTAACAGCGACGTTTGTGCCGAGTCGCCTGAATATCCAGGCGGATTATCTATCCAGAATGAGTTTGGACAACAACAAGTGGGCCCTATCACCTCAAGTCTTTCCAAGCCTAGTGGTATTGGCCTTTCTCCCAGAGATAGACCTGTTTGCCTCTCCAGAAAATACCAAAACGTCAAAGTTTTTTTCCAGGATCAGACATCCCACAAGCTATGGGGGTAGGTGCATTGACAGTGGCATGGAATTTCAAGACAGCATACACCTTTCCTCCAATTCTGGTGAGTCTCAGCTTGCTTCACAGAATACACCAGGAGAAAGCGACATTCTGTCAGTAATACCGGATTGGCCGAAGAGGCTCTGGTACCCGCTACTTCGTTTGTTGAACACCAAAGAACCACGCCCTTTGCCCAGTGACACTGGATCTGCTGACGCAGGGGCCCATTCGGCACCCACTCCGGAGAGACTCAGACTGACGGCCTCGGTCTTGAAAGGCAAAGGCTAATCAATCTAGGATGCTCGGCTAAGGTCGCAGATACTTTGATGAGAGCCAGAAAGGACAGCAGGAACACAGCCTATAGCAGGATATGAAATTTGCAAACAGTCATGGCTTTGTACCAGGTGCTCCAAAAGTCTGCCACATACTGGAATTCCTCCAGGCGGGATTGGATATAGATCTGTCTGTGAGTACTCTGAAGGCTCACATTTCTGCCCTTTCGGCTTACAGGTACCCTATGAGCCTCAGGCTCTTTAGTGGTTCAGTTCTTTAAGGCGGCTATCCACCAAAGACCACCCAAGCCTCTGATTTTTCCAAATGGGGACTTGTCTCTGGTGTTGGACTTTCCCTCATCAGATACCTTCAGTCATCCTGTCTTGCTATGGCATCTTTCTCTGAAAACAGCATTTCTTGCAGCTATAGAAGAGAAAAGCCAGAAGCAGGGGCGGACTGACCATTTGGAAACCCGGGCACTGCCCGAGGGCCCGAGGTCAGTAGGGGCCCCCATGAGATGCCCCTGGTACCTTTTTCATAGGCTTTTTTGAGTTTGGGCAAGGACACAGGGGCCCCATGATCCCCTATTGCCCGGGAGCCCCATGAGTTGTCAGTCCGCCCCTGGGCAGAAGAGTATCAGAACTGGCAACCTTAGGGTTTAACCACCTTCCACCCGCCCTATAGTACAATGACGGGCGCAAGGTGGTTCTCTTGTTCCGATAGGACGCCATATGACGTCCTACCATTCTCATTGCGCATGCGCGGCAAAGGGAGCGCGCAGCGCGGTGATTACCGGTCACAGCGGACCACGGAAATAACCGAAGATGTCGGCTCGGTCATGTGATCAGCTGTGTCTGATCACATGTAAACACGGAAATGCCAGTTATCCACATTGCTCTCCTCTCGAGCTGTCACGCTGACAGCTCGAGGGGAGAGGACAGGAGAGCTGGTAATCGGCTTTCCGCGGAGGGGACATGTACACTGATCATCAGGGCACTGATGATCAGTGTGCCCTGATGATGAGTGTGGCCCCAGAATTGCCACCTGTCAGTGCCCATCAGTGCCACATATCAGTGCATACCAGTGCACATCAATGCCGCATATCAGTGCCCATCTGAGCTGCCTTTCAATGTCACCCATCAGTGCCAGTCAGTGCCACCTATCAATGCCAATCAGTGCCACCTATCAGTGCTGCCAATCAGTGCCACCTATCAATGCCAATCAGTGCCACCTATCAGTGCTGCCAATCAGTGCCACCTATCAGTGCCAGTCAGTGCCCGCCTATCAGTGCCAGTCAGTTCTGCCTATCAGTGCCAGTCAGTGCCGCCTAACAGTGCCAGTCAGTGCTGCCTAGCAGTGCCAATCAGTGCCGCCTATCAGTGCTGCCTATCAGTGCCGCCTATTAGTGTCATATATCAGTGTCATGTATCCATGTCATGTATCAGTGATGCCTGTCAATGCCCATCAGTGCAACCTACCAGTGCCTCCTCATCAGTGCCACCTATCAGTGTCCATCAGTGCAGCCTATCAGTGCCCATCACTGCAGCCTCATTAGCGCACATCAGTGAAGGAGAAAAATCACTTATTTACAAAATTGTATAACAAAAACTAAGAAAAAACTTTTTTTTTTCAAAATTTTCAGTGGTTTTTGGTTTGTTTAAGAAAAAATAAAAATCCCCGAGGTAATTAAATACCACCAAAAAAAAAGCTCTATCTGTCTCAAAAAAATGATAAAAATTTCATATGGGTACAGTGTTGCATGACCGCGCAATTGTCATTCAAAGTGCGACACCGCTGAAAGCTGAAAGTTGGCCTGGTAAAGAAGCGGGTATAAGTGCCCGGTAGGCGAGGGATTAACATGGTTTCCTATAGAACACATTCACATCTATGTTTTTTTTTTAGCCGCCTTTGGAAAGGGTCAGGGACTTTTTTTTAAAATACAACACAGTGCGTTTTGGGGTCAATAGACTTCAATTAACATGCGGTAGAAATAAATGCAGTGCGTTTTTTATGTGTTTTGGGGTTTTTTGTCAATAGGAAAGTATTGACTTTGATGTCTCTGTGATGTGAATTTGGATGGGCGCAACTTTGATGTCCCCCCCCCCCCCTTTTTTTGCTAGTGATTTTGGTGAGCCGTGTCTTATGTCAATAGGTCACTATATAGAGACTGCAGGTCCTGCTGCATTTTATAAGAGAATTAAATCATATGGATGCCCAGACATTATGGCCTCATTTTCCATCCCCTCTGGAGTCGGGCTTTGTCCATTTGTTTCAGTCCTTCTCCCATCCGTCTAGCGGTCTGTCGGTGCGGTGAGGGGGGGTCAGTCAGGTCATTGATTTTATGTAACCTGAGATAAATCATACATTCCCCAAGCAACTCTCATATGAAATATGCAGATGGGATGACCCCTGAGGGGGCATTACTAACACCGCCAGCTGATGCCAAGCAACGAGACGCAATGCGCTTCCCCTGTACAGTGGTGGGTCTTATAACTCAGATTCTTTGGTCTGATTCCGATCATAAATATTATTATTCTACAGGATTTATATATTATTATTATACAGGATTTATATATTATTATTATTATACAGGATTTATATATTATTATTAGTATACAGGATTTATATATTATTATTTATTATTATACAGGATTTAAATATTATTATTAGTATACAGGATTTATATATTATTATTATTATTATACAGGATTTATATAATATTATTATACAGGATTTATATATTATTATTATTATTATACAGGATTTATATAATATTATTATACAGGATTTATATATATTATTATTATTATACAGGATTTATATTACTATTATTATTATTAGTAGTATACAGGATTTATATATTATTATTATATACAGGATTTATATATTATTATTATTATTATACAGGATTTACATATATTATTATTATACAGGATTTATATATTATTATTATACAGGATTTATATATTATTATTATTATATACAGGATTTATATATTATTATTAGTATACAGGATTTATATATTATTATTATACAGGATTTATATATTATATTATTATTATAGTATACAGGATTTATATATTATTATTATTATACAGGATTTATATATTATTATTATTATTAGTATACAGGATTTATATATTATTATTATTATACAGGATTTATATATTATTATTATTAGTATACAGGATTTATATATTATTATTAGTATACAGGATTTATATATATTATTATTATACAGGATTTATATATTACTATTATTATTAGTAGTATACAGGATTTATATATTATTATTATTATACAGGATTTATATATTATTATTATTATACAGGATTTATATTATTATTATTATTATTATACAGGATTTATATATTATTATTATTATACAGGATTTATATATTATTATTATTATTATTATTATTATTATACAGGATTTATATTACTATTATTATTAGTAGTATACAGGATTTATATATTATTATTATACAGGATTTATATATTATTATTATTATACAGGATTTATATTATTATTATTATTATACAGGATTTATATATTATTATCAGTATACAGGATTTATATATTATTATTATATAGGATTTATATATTATTATTATTATACAGGATTTATATATTATTATTATACAGGATTTATATATTATTATTATTATACAGGATTTATATATTATTATTATATAGGATTTATATATTATTATTATTATACAGGATTTATATATTATTATTATACAGGATTTATATATTATTATTATACAGGATTTATATATTATTATTATTATTATACAGGATTTATATGGCGCCAACAGTTCGCTCAGCGCTTTACAATATAACGGGCGACAATACAGCAACAATACAGTTCAATACAAGAGGGATAGGAGGGTCCTGATCCTGGGAGCTTACAATCTAAGAGTATATGTATCAGGGCTCCTGTCAACGGACTTGGTTTTCCTGTGTTTGACATGATTTATTTTATTTATTACAGGTACTTATATAGCGCCAAGTCAAACATCGCTTTATATATACATATATATATATATACATATATATATATATATATATATATACAGTATCTCACAGAAGTGAGATACTTTCTTCAGAGAGTTCTTTGCCATGAGGTGCCATGTTGAACTTCCAGTGACCAGTCTGAGAGAGTGAGAGCGATAACACCAAATGTAACCCACCCGCTCCCCATTCACACCTGAGACCTTGTAACACTAATGAGTCACATGACACCGGGGCGGGAAAATGGCTAATTGGGCCCAATTTGGACCTTGTCACTTAGGCGGGGACTCACTTTTGTTGCCAGCGGGTTAGACATTAATGGCGGCGTGTTGAGTTATTTTGAGGGGGGACAACAAATTTACATGTTATACAAACTGTACACTGACTACGTCACATTGTAGCAAAGTGTCATTTCTTCAGTGTTGTCACATGAAAAGATAGAATCAAATATTGACAAAAATGTGAGGGGTGGACTCACTTCTGGAAAATACTGTATATATATATATATATTTTTATTGCCAATAGTATTGGCCCCGCCCTCCCAATCATGTGATTCAGGTGTTCCAATCCCCTCCATGGACACAGGTGCATACAATCAAGCCCCTAGGCATGCAGACGGCTTCTACAAACATTGGTGAAAGAATGGGTCGCTCTCAGGAGCTCAGTGACTCCAAGCGTGGTCCCGTGATAGGTGGCCACCTGTGCAATAAGTCCATCCGTGACATTTCCTGGCTACTAAATATTCCACGCTCAACTGTTAGTGGGATTATAACAAAGTGGAAGCAACTGGGAACAACAGCCACTCAGCCACCAAGTGGTAGGCCACGTCACATGACAGAGCGGGGTCAGCACATGCTGAAGCACACAGTGCGCAGAAGTCGCCAACTGTCTGCAGAGTCAATAGCTAAAGACCTCCAAACTTGGTGTGGCCTTCAGATGAGCCCAACAACAGTGCGTAGAGAGCTTCATGGAATGGGTTTCCATGGCCGAGCAGCTGCATCCAAGCCTTCCATCACCAAGTGCAATGCAAAGCGCCGGATGCCATGGTGTAAAGTACGTCGCCACTGGACTCTAGAGCATGGAGACGTGTTCTCTGGAGTGACCAATCACGCTTCTCTGTCTGGCAATCCGATGGATGTGTCTGGGTTTGGCAGTTGCCAGGAGAACGGTACTTGGCTGACTGCATTGTGCCAAGTGTGAAGTTTGGTGGAGGGGGGATTATGGTGGGGGGTTGATTTTCTTTTGGTGGTATTTGATCACCTCTGCATTTTTTATTTTTTGCACTATAAACAAAAAAACTATTTTGAGAAAAAAACAATATTTTTGACTTTTTGCTATTAAACATATCCAGTAAAAAAATGTTAAAAATCGAATTTTGGCACAAATTTAGGCCAAAATGTATTCTGCTCCATGTTTTTGCTAAAAAAAAAAATCCCAATCTGTGTAAATTAATTGGTTTACGTGAAATTATAGCGTTTACAAATGGCGGTATAGATACTGGGATCTTTTATGACTTATAGCGGGGCTGCAGCGGGCATTCTGACACTGGTTGGGGGAACTGACTTGGTGTCACTGACATCCCCAGTGACACTAATGCAGTGATTAGTGCTAATAAAAAGCAGCAGCACTGTACTAATGGCACTGGGCAGGAAGGGGTTAACATCTGGGGCGATCAAAGGGTTAACTGTGTGCTCTGTGTGTTTTACTAGGGAGACATGCTGCTTTGTATGGCTCTTCTATGCAGAGCCATACAAAGCAGTGTGCAGGAGCTGACAGGGGAGAGATCTGTATTGTTTACATACAGACCTCTCCCCTGTCAGTGATACTTGGCAATCCCTGGGTGCCGGCAGGGAATCACCAGTTGGGACCCGGTGATCGACAGCTGAAGCCGCCAATGGCCCCTACCTGGAAATGCAAAATCATACATATATGATTTTGCACATTTGCAAAAAATGTACCGCATGCGTTATTTTACTGCATTTTTTCAGTAGTTATTAGTGAATCGACTCCTTTGTTTTGCAACAGAACAAGCTGCTCTGCAAATGTGGCAGTTAGAGGTTCGAGATAAACCATTTACTACTGTCAGGGGTGCTTACAATGGTCAGCTCTTATTGATTTATGTAAACTCTTTATCCCAAAAGGAAAAAAAAAATGTTTGCTATAACTGCTGATAAGGAGTAAGATGGATTTTGGTTTAAATTTGTTAGTATATCTAAATCCAGGGCTTTTTTTTTTTTTTACCGGAAACACCAGGGGAATGCAGTTCCAGCACTGAATGTATGTAATGGCAGGGGGTGCTGGAGGATCTATTGATGCTGGCTACTGGGGGATCTATTGATGCTGGCTGCTGGGGGATCTATTGATGCTGGCTGCTGGGGGATCTATTGATGCTGGCTGCTGGGGGATCTATTGATGTTAGGTGCTGGGGGATATATTGATGCTGGCTGCTGGGGGATATATTGATGCTGGCTGCTGGGGGATCTATTGATGCTGGCTGCTGGGGGATCTATTGATGCTGGCTGCTGGAGGATCTATTGATGCTGGCTGCTGGGGGATCTATTGATGCTGGCTGCTAGGGGATCTATTGGTGTTGATGGGGGATCTGATGCTGCTGGGGGGATCTATTGATTCTGGCTGCTGGGGGATATATTGTCACTCTATTGATGCTGGCTGCTGGGGGATTTATTGATGCTGGCTGCTGGGGGATTTATTGATGCTGGCTGCTGGGGGATCTATTGATGCTGGCTGCTGGGGGATCTATTGATGCTGGCTTCTGGGGGATATATTGATGCTGGCTGCTGGGGGTTTATTGATGCTGGCTGCTGGGGGATCTATTGATGCTGGTTGCTGGGGGATATATTGATGCTGGCTGCTGGAGGACCTATTGATGCTGGCTGCTGGGGGATCTATTGATGCTGGCTGCTGGAGGATCTATTGATGCTGGCTGCTGGGGATCTATTGATGCTGGCTGCTGGAGGATCTATTGATGCTGGCTGCTGGGGGATCTATTGATGCTGGCTGCTGGGGATCTATTGATTCTGGCTGCTGGGGATCTATTGTCACTGGGGAATCTATTGATGCTGGCTGCTGGGGGATAAGATTTATTGATGCTGGCTGCTGGGGATTTATTGATGCTGGCTGCTGGGGGATTTATTGATGCTGGCTGCTGGGGGATCTATTGATGCTGGCTGCTGGGGGATCTATTGATGCTGGCTTCTGGGGGATATATTGATGCTGGCTGCTGGAGGGTTTATTGATGCTGGCTGCTGGGGGATCTATTGATGCTGGTTGCTGGGGGATATATTGATGCTGGCTGCTGGAGGACCTATTGATGCTGGCTGCTGGAGGATCTATTGATTCTGGCTGTTGGGGGATCTATTGTCACTGGAGGATCTATTGATGTTGGCTGCTGGGGGATATATTGATGCTGGCTGCTGAAGGATCTATTGATGCTGGCTGCTGGGGGTTCTATTGTCACTGGAGGATCTATTAATGTTGGCTACTGGAGGATCTATTTATGTAAACTCTTTATCCCAAAAGGAAAAAAAAATGTTTGCTGTAACTCCTTATAAGGAGTAAGATGGATTTTGGTTTCAATTTGTTAGTATATCTAAATCCAGGGCTTTTTTTTTTTTTACCGGAAACACCAGGGGAATGCAGTTCCAGCACTGAATGTATGTAATGGCAAGGGGTGCTGGAGGATCTATTGATGCTTGCTGCTGGGGGATCTATTGATGCTGGCTGCTGGGGGATCTATTGATGCTGGCTGCTGGAGGATCTATTGATGCTGGCTGCTGGAGGATCTATTGATGCTGGCTGCTGCAGAATCTATTGATGTTGGCTGCTGGGGGATCCATTGATGTTGGCTTCTGGGGGATCTATTGTCACTGGAGGGGATCTATTTTTGCATGGTGGTCTATTGCTGCTGGAGAGGGATCTATTGTTGTTTGGAGGCCAATTGTTGCTGAAAGGGATCTCCTGTTGAGGGAAGTCTCTTGTTTCTCCTGGGGGTCTGTTGTTGCTGCGGTGGCATTTTGTTGCTGGGGAAATCTACTGTTGCCAGGCTAGGTTTAGACCCGCGTCAGAAGCCCTACTCCTCTGAAAAGAAATCCATGCCATGCTCAGATTGCTTTTCAGAGGCTTTTGCATTGTGACCCCTCCTCACCCTGTTTTAACCCCATAATTGCCACACAAATGCGCCATAGCTGCGTCCAGTGGCGCCGCTTCCTTATTCTTGAACGGGTAGCGTTTGGTGGGCTTGGGCGAGACACGTTGGATCATTTTTGCCGCAACCGCAGCATGTCAATACCTCTGTCCACTGCTATTGCAGCTTGGGGATGCTAAAAAATGCAGCTCAATGGCACCTTTTTTGGCACCTCCCCCTACCGCAAGTCTAAGCACTCTCTAAAAGTGATGCGGCTGTAAAGCCACCTTATCACTTTTACTGTACCTCCCCTGTTCTCTGCAGGTAGTCCACAGTGGGCGGAGCCTGCTGGCCCCTCCCACAGCTCTGCTGTCTCCATGTCTACGCACAGCACAGTGATGATGGTGCGGCTACTTTTACAAGATAATGTCTGGATTTGCAAAGACATTTAGCGTACACGAAGTGGATTTACATCCTTTGTGGCTATTAATGAATATTTCAATGTACATTTAAATAAAAAAAATGCTTTGCGCCTGGAGTTCAGCTTTAAAGAACCCACCAGGCTGCGCCTGCTCTTGCAGGGGAGGATTGTGGGTAGTAAAGAAAAACAAACGTGGAGAAGCATCTGGCGCGGGGCTGATGACTCAGCGAGAGACGAAAAATAACATTCTGTAGAAGTGCTTATCAAACATCTCCACTGAACTGACCGCAGAACCATTCCCGTTACATCTGATATCAGCAAAAAGTTACCAACAATTGTGTGATTGCAGGACGTACCTGGCAGGAGAGACTCTCAACACGAGGGGGATGGTATGAAAACCCATCAGATCTCAATGGGGAGGAATCTCCTGCTGGATCTCTATACTGACATGGACGGGGGATGGGTGAGGAATGTAAGGACGCCCCATTGTTTGATGGAAATGAAAATGATCGACCTACAGAGGACTGAATTCAAAGACACCCCAAAAATCAAAGTGAGAAAATGTTGCAGCAGGCGAGTCCATTCTGCTGAAATGTCATTGCAGCAACTCAGAATGGTCCTCAGTAGTTTGTGTGGCCCCCACGTGCTTGTATGCATGCCTGACAACGTCAGGGGAGGCTCCTAATGAGACCACAGATGGTGTCCTGGGGGATTTCCTCCCAGATCTGGACCAGGACACACTGAGCTCCTGGACAGTCTGAGATGCAACCTGGCGGTGTCAGATGGACCGAAACATGACATCCCAGAGGTGTTCTATTGGATTTAGGTCAGGTGAGTGTGGGGGCCATTCACTGGTATCAATTCCTTCATCCTCCAGGAACTGCCTACATACTCTCCCCACATGAGGCCGGGCATTGTCCTGCACCAGGAGGAACCCGGGACCCACTGCACCAGGAGGAACCCGGGACCCACTGCACCAGGAGGAACCCGGGACCCACTGCACCAGGAGGAACCCGGACCCACTGCACCAGGAGGAACCCCGCACCCACTGCACCAGGAGGAACCCGGGACCCACTGCACCAGGAGGAACCCGGGACCCACTGCACCAGGAGGAACCCGGGACCCACCAGGAGGAACCAGGGACCCACTACACCAGGAGGAAACCCCGCACCCACTGCACCAGGAGGACCCCCGCACCCACTGCACCAGGAGGAACCCAGGACCCACTGCACCAGGAGGAACCCAGGACCCACCGCACCAGGAGGAACCCAGGACCCACCGCACCAGTGTAGAGTCTGACAATGGGTCCAGAGATTTCATCCCCATACCTAATGGCAGTCAGGGTGCCATTTTTTTTTTTTTAGTCCGCAAACGTGCGAATAACGAAAAAAAACCCGTAAGTGAATCACAAAAAAAGTGCAAGTGCAAAACACCACACGAAAAAGTGCACTTAGGAGTGTGCTTTGTCCTTCCCCACAAGGGGATGGACCTCAGCAGAGTGTGAGGGCCATTCAATGGTGTCAATTCCTTCATCCTCCAGGAACTTCCTACATACTCGCCACATGAGGCAGGGCATTGTCGTGCACCAAGAGGAGCCCACCACTGCAACCAGTGTAGGGTCTGACAATGGGTCCAAGGATTTCATCCCAATACCTAATGGCAGTCAGGGAGCCATTGCCTACCCTGTAGAGGTCTCTGCGTCCCTCCATGGATATGCCTCCCCAGACCATCACTGACCCACCACCAAATGGTCATGCTGAACGATTGATACAGGCAGCAGAACGTTCTCCACGGCTTCTCCAGACCGTTTCATGTCTGTCACATGTGCTCAGGGTAAAAGAAAATGAAGGAAACTCCAAAATGTTGGCAGCAGAACAGGAAGTAAGGGGGCATCTTCTAATGGGGACACCAGGGTGCTGTACATAACCTCCTGAAAACATCACAGCCCCCTCTCAAGAGCCCTCATTGCTGATGCAAGCAGAGGGGAGTTTATGTAAATATCATAATGCTTTAACGTGTTACTAAACCCCTGACCCCGCATTCACTATATCTGCTCTCCCCCGGACCCTGCATTCACTATATCTGCTCTCCCCGGACCCCGCATTCACTATATCCACTCTCCCGGACCCTGCATTCACTATATCCGGTCTCCCCGGACCCTGCATTCATTATATCCGCTGTCTCCCCGGACCCTGCATTCACTATATCTGCTCTCCCCGGACCCCGCATTCACTATATCCACTCTCCCCGGACCCTGCATTCACTATATCCACTCTCCCCGGACCCTGCATTCACTATATCTTGGTCTCCCCGGACCCCGCATTCACTATATCCGCTCTCCCCGGACCCCGCATTCAC